ACCACACAACACACAACCACACAACATACACAACCACACAACACAATGCACACAACATAGCACACCCAACATACAACCCAACACACAACCGCACAATACACCATATGGCGCGCACACACACACACACACACACACACACACAGGCCAAGAGACAAGGTGGAGATCCAGGGAGACCCCAGGGAGCAGTGCAGGTGTCTGTGGATTCTGCTTTCAGATAACTCCCCTGGTCACTTCACCTCCCTGAGCCTCAGTTACCTCATCTGAATATTGGGATCATGACAGATAATTCTGTCATCTATTCTACCGATGACAGCCAGAGGACGCCTGTGAGCACCTGCCTCAGGGCCCATCCCTCCTCTTCCTATAGCCCTCCATGGCTCCCACCTTCCTATGGGCCAAAGCCTAAGTCCTCCCTGCAGTCCACAAGTCCACACCCTGCCCTGTCCCTTCCCTGCCCTCCCCTCCTCCCCGTCTCCCCCTCGCTCACTCTGCTTGAGCCACACGGGCCTCCTCCCTGTTCCTCCAACACCCAGGTGCAGTCCTGCCTTGGGGCCTTGGCACGGGCTGTGCCCTCTTCTCAAGAAAACCCGCTTCTTCCAAATATCCACACAGCTCGTCCTCTCTCCTCCTCTGAGTCTTTGCTCAATGTCAACAATGTCTCAATTTTACAATGAAGTCTCTCTGAGTAAGCTGTAAAGTTGCAAATACCCACCATGAGCGCCGCCCCGCAACGCCCCACACAAACATGCACACACACTCCTCCTTCCTGCCATGTCCTGCAAATGACATTTATTCATTTGATAATTGCTTCTCCCCTCGCCTCACGCTCTGTTGAACCTAAATCCATCCAGGAAGGAATTTTTATGTTCATTCAGGGTTTTGTCACCTGAACTCAGCACAAAGCTGGTATATAGTTTGGTTTAACAAAAAACTTACCAGAACAAGCGAGAAGGATGGGAGGAGAGAAGGGGAAGGAGGGTGTTCTCATAGAATTATCATGAGGATGTGTTGAAATCATACAAGGCTAGGGGCAGTGGCTCACACTTGTAATCCCAGCTCTTTGGGAGGCCAAGGCGGGAGGATCGCTTGAGCCCAAGAGTCCGAGACCAGCCTGGGCAACAGAGTCAGACCCTGTCTCTACAAAAAATAAAAGTTAAAAAA